ACGAGCTCTCCAGGCTGGCACTGCCCTCCCTGCCCTCGGTGGAAACACAGGGAGCAGAACGAGCTCTCCTCGGGCACGGGCAAGTGGCCCCAGCAGCTCTGAGGCATCTGAGAGCAGGTACACCTGGAGCAGACAGGTGCTCCAGCACCTAAGGACCTACCAGGTAGTACTTCTTGCTCTTGGGGGTGTACTCAGGGTCCCATTCCTCCTCCCTGCTTCGCTTCTGGAAGTCGTTGTTGCCGCCGCTGTTGCTGTTGTTGTTGCCTGAAAAGTTGCCTCTGCCCCATCCTCTCCCTCGGGCTCTGAACTGCTTCAAGAGCCACACAGGGAGAAAAACGTGAGAAAGTGTCCTGGTTTTAGAGGCAGTGCCCTCCCAGCCCAGCCAGCTCCCAGGGCTCCCAGGGACACAATAGCCCTTCCCTGAGCAGGGCACCCCCAGAAGGCACAGGCAGACACACCAGGCAGTGAGACACTGCACCTGAGGCACAGGCACTGCAAACAGTCAGTGGCTGTGCCCAGGTGAGCCACGTTGGTGGCCAAACCCCCACGGGGTGAGGCACATGGTGGGGTCACCACCCACAGCCTGGCCCTGCCCAGGGGGTTCTCCTCCGGGGCAGCTTCAGCTGCAGGAGCAACACAGGGGCCACGTCCCGAGCCCTCTGGGAACTGAACTCAGGGCAGGGGTGCAGAACTTACAAAGGTTCCCCTCGCTCTTCCTCTCTCGTTTGGGCCAGTGAATTCCTTAGTCCCCAGCCGGGACTTGTCGAAGCCTGTGGAGCTCTCCTCCCTCTCCTCAGTCTCCTCGGGATACTCCTCTGCCTTGACCGAGTGAGAGGACCATGACGATGAGGAACTGGATCTGGATCTCTCTCGCACCCGTCGGTGCTTCCTGTTTCAGGAGAGGAAACGGAGGGAACACCCACAGGGTTAGGAACTCAGCATGACCTGCCTGCTCAGAGCTCCTGTCACTCCCTTATCAGTGCCACACTCTCCTTCTACTACGAGAGGAAAAGCCTGAGTAAGCTCCGAGTAAGCTCAGGCTCCAGCACAGGGCCCAAACCCTCTCCAGAGGGAACTTGCTGCTCCTTCCTAAGGTGTTAACACCACGTGTTCTGGGCCAAGCATGCGTCCATGGAGCTTTAGTCAAATGGAAAACTGAGCTAATAGGAAAGGATCTAATGAACACCAAAGCCAAGTCATTTCAACATGGCTGTGCCGACACAAGAGGAAGGAGAAGGAAAGTGACTCACCCACGCTGACAATGGAGCCTTCCCATTTACCTCTAACCACTGCCAGTGTTTGTGACAGACACAGTGACAGCAGCACAGGCAGAGGGGCAGCTCAGGCCGCTGCTGTCACCGCTGTGTGCACAGCTCTGCGCACACGATGTCGTCTCCGGCCCGAGCAGCAGAGACACGAGAGGCAGAAGGAAATGGCTGCTACGCTTCCTACATACTTTTTCTTTGAGCCTTTGTGACTTTTCTCCGTTTTCTCAGTTGATCTTTCCCTTGAGTGACTTGAATCCCTCGAGTCCACCGACTCCCTGGATTTATCGCGCTTAAGATCTCTTTCCTTATGTTTTTTACGGCGTTCAATATCGAGGCGCAGGTCAACAGGATCGTCCTTATATTTCCCTTCAGCCTACAAAGGCAGGGGAGAGGGCAGAGTTGAGCACAAGGGCCTGCAGTGTCCCAGCTCAGCACCATTTACTTTGCTACTGACTGCACAGACTTTGGAGAGCTGCAGTTTAACTGAGCTCTGACCAACATTCCACTTTAAGATGGCAAATCATGTACTATTCAAGTAAGTTCTCACTTGTCAGAATTCCATTTTCCTACTGCTTTTTAACCTTTACTCTGCTCTTTAAACAGCATTGGAATACACAGCCTGGAACAGGGCGGGGAGAGACATGGAAGGTGACACCTATTGTACACCACAGCCAGGGAGGGATGAGAACTTGGGAATCACATCCAGTGCCTGTGGATCACTACTGGTGTGGCAGAGCTGTCCAGCAGCCCCTAGACCTCTGGCCCTGCCCTGACTGTCCTCACAGGCATCACCTGGCAGGGGGGGAGGAATTCTAATCACCAGGTCTGGGAGTGATGCTTCAGGAGAAGCAAAAAGCTGCTTGGAGATCCCCAAGATTAGTGGTCCAGGTGGGGAGAGCTGGAGGCCACGGACACGTGGCGTCCAAGGGGTCTGGGAGCAGGGAGAGATCCCCTGGGGGGAGGATTTACTGGGTGCAGACATTGCCCACAGCTCCATCCCTGGGCCGGAGGGCACTGTGTGGCAGGTGCCATGAAGCCACCACAGACTGTGTTTCTCCACAGCCCAGGCAGGTCTGCTAAAGCCAAGCTGGTGTCCACAGACCAGACCCCACCAGATGCACGACAAACACTCCTCCGCTAGCTCTGGTTTTAAACTCTGCCTTGCTGATGAAAAACAAACAAAACCACCTGGTAACGACTGGGCTGAGTTGGACTTAAACTGCTGCTTCAGGAGGGGATGAGGAGTCTCTGGGGGACGAGCAGCTGTGCTCCTGCAGCTGCTCCAAGCCCTGTGGGACCTGGGTGAGACTCTGCTGCCTGCCCAGGGGCAGTGGCTGTGGTTCTGGCACACTGGAGTGAGCAGCAGGAGGTGTGAGGGAATCCTCCCACCAGGGTGGCACCAACACCCAACCTGAGCACTGCTAGGCATGTACACACATTCATCCTGGGAACAACTTGATATGCAACACACAGCAAATTAACCGCCTTGAATCAAATACAAAAGGATTAGTAATTCTCTAGCTGTTAAATTTTTTACTTACATGAGTTTCTAACCACTTTTTTGTTTAAATAAATATGTCAAATAACGCAGGAGTGAGAGCAGGCGTTTTGTTTTGGTATTTTGCTCTTCTACTTTCCCCAGGCAAAGAGCTTTAATTTCTACTCTGAGAATAAAACTGCTCCCAACACGGTGGATGACAGAAAAGTGACAAAATCGGCAGCAGCTCCCTTATGTGGCACAGCAAACAGCTATTTGGGTTTGGGAGGGCTCGTCTGTCTCACGGAGGGCTGGCGAGCTGTTTGGAAACCACGTTTACAACACACTCTGCCAAGCTGATGCTCAGTTCAGGCCCATCAAATCCATCTCACCATCGTCCATGTCAAGCCACAAGTGTGTTTGGAAAGAATCGAAAACCGGCAGCAGCTCCCTTATGTGGCACAGCAAACAGCTATTTGGGTTTGGGAGGGCTCGTCTGTCTCACGGAGGGCTGGCGAGCTGTTTGGAAACCACGTTTACAACACACTCTGCCAAGCTGATGCTCAGTTCAGGCCCATCAAATCCATCTCACCATCGTCCATGTCAAGCCACAAGTGTGTTTGGAAAGAATCGAAAACTGAAACAATTTTCAGGACTGGTTACATCTCTTCAACGCAAATATGTATGAAGGTGAATAAACACAGGTTAAAATCCCAAACATTTCGTTAAGCCTCGTCTTAGGACTGTTTTACAGCGACTGCAAATGGCTTAACGTTCGTCTACTCAAGTAACACAATCCCAAAATGCTCTGGATCTAAGGCAAGTGCTGAATGTTAACGTAACAGCAATCAACAGACAAGGTACAGTAAGTTGTTAGCACGAAATTATCATCTGCTTTAGCTCAGCACTCAGCCTCACTGCCCTCTCTTTGACATGCACGTCTCGGAAAACATGGTTGGCAATATCGCACGTAACAATGGAGTTAATCATACTTACAAGCAGAAAAATATCACAAAAAGTCTCTTCTCTCATCATGGGCACTTGTTCCAAAAATCCTCTCTCTTTTCTCAAGCTCACCTCAATTGACTTTGGGGTCATTTACCATAGTCTAACCACTTCACAAAGGTTGGTGATACATTTTTAATAAAAATTAACCCTTTGTAGTTCATTTTTAGAATTATGCCCATCCTTAAAAGAAAAACACAAACTTAAGTAGAGAGTAATTTAAACACAAACATCACTGTTAAGTTCATGCCCAATGCACTCATTGTGTTGAATTAAACTAATCAGAGTGACAGTTCACCTTGAAGCCTGAATCTCTGGAGCTTTTCGACTCCTCTTGAGAGAATCCATGTTTTCTAAAAGTACTGGGAGATATATCTATCCTCCTAGAAAGCAAAGGAAACACATAGGTAAGATCTTGCTCATGAGAACAACCCAAAGTTTTCAGCCATTTAAAGCAGACCAAGACTTCCAAAGGGACTTAAAACTCCCCACATTCCCCTTTTCTGTGTTGGCAGAAGTCAGTTACACATGTGAATGACTCTGGAATTATCCCAGAGCTTAGAGATGGAAGCTGAAACGTCCCTGCAATGCTAACACAGTGTCCAGTGGCACCAACCTGTGGATTTCAGGACTCTTCTTGTTCTTAGCTGCATCCTGTTCCATTCCTTTCTTTAAGTATTTGGTAAAGCGTTCGTTCAGTGTCATTGCTGAGGACCCAAAGTGATGTTCTGTCAGGGGAGAGCAAAGAGTGACGAGAGGTTAGTGCCAGCTCTGTCAGAGCCCAGCAGCCCCAGAGCCTGTCAAAACCCAGGGCAGGGCAGTGAGGCTCACTGTGGTGAGCTCTGCTGCTGGGACAAATCTTGAGTGCTTCGGTGAAATGAGCAATTTCTTCCAGTGAGTCACAGACCACCAGATCACACAGCTCTGTCAGACTGAGTATTGCCCAGGTAAGCACAGGAACACCTTCTGCTGTGCAGAAAAGGTGTTCTACAAAGCAGGGGATCGTGACCAGGCTGCTGAGCTCCTCTCTGGAAAACACCTCCGAGCACCCAAACCCCACCGACCCGGACAGGGAGGAGTGAAGTGCCCCTGAGGACAGGCAGAGTCCTGACCCACCTCTCACATGATGGACTATAGTCACTATGTGCTGAGCAAACAGTTCCGAGGGGCTGCGCTGCGACTGAGCCGACTGGATGTGGTGGAAAATGGAGCGGAATTCCTGCTCCTTCTTGTTGCTGTGCACCAGGTCCCGGCAGAGCTTGCGCTCCTGAGCCAATATGCCACTGGGACTGGAGAAAGAACAGAGCATGTGAAACAGAGGAGCAGGCTGAAGGGAGCAGCTCGGGGAGGTCACTGCATGTTTTACATAGTCCCAGGGAGGCACCTAAGGACACAATGTGAGCAAGAGCCTCCTCAGACATCCCAACCACCATGACCCAGGTCACTGCAGTAACTCCGGTCACTCATTACTCAATGCGGTGTGGAGAACAGGAGCAGCAAAACACAGTGCAGAGACTCAAATGTCATTAAGCAGCACTTAACTTCCCTGCAGCCAGAAGCCACTGAGTACCTGACTCCGTCTGGACTCCTCCCAGAGCCCACGTGACAAGGCACTGACCTCCTGACCTTGCAGCCAGGCATGGAAGAGGTTAGGAAGAAGTTCATCTCTAGCTCCAAACACCACACACTGCGATGCAGTATTGCTTAGCCTTCCTCACACTTGGCAAAACTTGGGGATCTCAGGAAGAGAAACAGGAAAAAACAACCCTGCTGAGCCCTCCCAAGCCAGCAGGTCCTCACCGTGCGAGATCCTCGTCGAAGGAATCCATGCGAATGTTGACCTGGGCCTCACGGGTAATGGAAAAGGAGGATTTGCCAGGAGTCAGCCCCTCCACTTTGGTGCCTGGCTTCTCCTTCACCTCCAAAGCCTTCCGCGGTGGGGGCGAAGAGCTTTTTTCCTGGCTTGACTTGTAAGTGGTCACTCTGAAATTCTTTTCAGGAACAAACCCCCTGTGACCAGACTCCGATCTCTTGGATCCTGATCTCTCCTCTTTTTTGGATCTCTCGGAATAGCTTTCCTCCTCCATGTCATCAGATTTCCTTTGCTTCTCCTTTCCAGGTGGCAGGAACACCACCCCTTCCCATTTTCCAGACCTATCCTCCTCTTGGTTTTTACTCGAAGTCGCAACGACTTTAGACATAAATTTGGGCTCATCATCAAACTCCGAATCTTTCCGGCCTTTTGCTTTATCCTTCTTGTCCTGCTCATCCATCTCCTCTTTGCCATAATGGCCTTCCTTGTGGAACTCTGGGACCTTGATCTTGTCAAAGTCATCCCTGAACTTGTAGCGCTTGGGCGACTGGCTGCCGCGGTATCCCTTCTCCGAGTCAGCCTTGGATCCATACACCTCGGATTTTGCCTTTCCATCTGTTGATCCCAACTCAGAGAAATTCCCTTTTTCTTTACTTTTTTCTTTCTCAACACTTACTTTCTGGTCTTTGTCTTTCCCATTCTCAGCCTTCTGCTCCTCCAGGTACCTGGTCACAAAACACCACAGGAGTTTGCTTATTAGACATTGACGAGGTCAAGGCTCGAGCTCAGAGAGTCCAATTTCACCACTTATGCATGTACAGAAACTGCCTCTAGGCCCTAAAACAGTGCAAGTGTTTACTCAGCCTGGATTCAGACTCTCAGTTCTCACTAAGTTCAGCAAATGTAGAAGGAAATGGATATGCAGAACCGATGGAATGAGGCTCAAGGACAAATCAAACCCAGTGACCCACAAATGCATCGAAGGAAAATAGAACATCTTACCCACTCGTTTATTTACTTACAAACCTGGTTCAGGAGAACAACACATCAAACCTTTCAAACTGGGCTGTTCTGCTTTAAACAACACACTGGAAATAAAAGCCTCAAAAGCTACTTCAAATTTGGGATGCAATTTTCATAGGTAAGCTAAATATTTCATGACAGACTGCAAATACAAATAAAAGCAAACAGGTTAACAGAGGAGAAAATGCTGCTGGGAGAGATAAAACACTTGAGTGAGAACAACAATTCAGGCAGTTTAGAGCATCAGGACGAGGTTTTCAGGCATTCATTCAGCTAGACACTGGCTCTCGGGCACAGCAGTGAAGCAGAGCCCATGGATATCAGCTCAGTGCCCTGGAAAGCCCAAACAGGAAGGACTCAACTTCTCCTTCCCCTTTTCCTTTTAAACTTCAGACATCCTTGATACAAACCCAGATCAAAACGACTCGGACAATAATGAAGCTTTTAAAGTACTTATGGACACTGCTGCATCTTTTCAAACAGTGTCACCCTCAGGCACCACCTGAGGACTGACCAGGACAAACCTGGGCGCAGGTGTCTCCTGCATGGGATGATCCTGGGGCTGTCCCCTCTCACCCTACCCACGGACACAGGCACAGGCACTGCAGCTGCACAGGCCTCAGACTACAGAAGATTGCATTAGTTTCTTCTCATTTATAGGACCTAAAGTAAGGCCAGAACACAGTACGAGAAACATCTTGAACTGGTATGGAAGTAACTGGGAAACAGCTTCCAGCTGCCCAGAAACCTCCTTGGGCACACCTTCCCTTCCAGTGCTCATGGGCTACTTCTGCTGGGAACATATACAACCTTCAGACCTACCCAAGTTGGAAAACTGATTCCAACTGGTCACACCTCCAGGCCTGGACTGCACTGTGCTGTGCAGCTCAGCCAGGCCCGTGCCCAGAGCTGGCAGAGTGCGACACGGCTCTGGCAGGAGCTGCCCCAGGGAGCACCCCTATGTGCACACTGTGCCAGAAGGAACACCCCAGCCCCAGGGGCT